TTAAGGATAAGCATCGTATCCTTCTAAAATACTCCCTCTGCAAACCCTATCAGGATTGTTGTGTCAGGTCCCTGACCACCGAGGCTCTAGTCGGCCCCTTGAGTCAGACCCCTTGTCGACAAATTTCTAGAGCCACAATTGGCATGTGTGTATAATTGTAGATTATTATTAATTTGTTTATTTCCTTCATTATTTTTTTTTTTTTTTATAAATTTATGTATTTATCTTAGGTATGCTAATAAAATCTTTTTAACTGCGAGGCCTATTAAATTGACTTTTATTTGCTGATCGCCAATTGATTTACAAAGCCTATTAAAACAAAAAGAATCATTTAACTATAATAAGCCGCTATTTCCTATACGAATACATAGTAAGAGAGTGTTCCAACATAAATGTTATGCTGTGGTTACTGTTTTCCATACTGCTTTTATTTTATTTTCTAAAAAGTGGGTTTCAGCGCAAACTGGGTTTCAACAAACTGGGATTCGTAGTTTTTGATTCAGCAATCTGGCATTCGGCAAACTGTGTTTTGGCAAAGTGAACTCGAAGATCTGGAAGTCGGCAATCTGGGGTTCTACAATCTGGCGTAGAACCACCAAGACGAAGCCGACACGAAAGTCTTCCTGAATCCTGTATGCAAAGCATGCTTTAACGAATAACAACCAAGGCATAGCAATCATCCGTTCCCTTTCGATCGATTACAGACAATTACACCCGGCTTTCTTTCATAAAGGAAAACGTAGCTTCTGTAATCATAAACTGTGTTTGTTGAAACTTTCAGCAACTTCGGAGTTTTAGATATTCTGTCACAAAGTTGTCTGAAGATCAAGAGTATGTCTTACTGCTGCTTGGAGTTAGGGAGAAATGTGTAAATCAAGCAAGTAACATGTTCAATAGAATGTTTTGCAGAGACCAGATCACTGACATATCATTGTTGCCACCATGTTAGCAGAATTTCGATCGTTCAAGAATGAAAATAAGCAGAGGTAAATGACTGTCAATAAAAATATTTGATGGAACAGATGGAATAAACAAATTCTCGTGGAAGTCCAAGAATTGTTCATACGATAAATACGAAGACTTTCAGATTGCAGTGATAAAAGCGATACATGAAGATTATTGCTCAGGGCTACACAGTTAAACACTACACAAATATCTAGTAAATGAATTGATGCCTTCTTCATACATGAAAATTGTGGTAGTCGTCTTGAATACCTTGTATAGCACACAGAAAAAATGAAAAACAACCGGATATTTGTAAGGAAGCTGGAATTTTTTAGGATTCTGTTGATATTTTCAAATTCTTTAAAACAGAAAAGGACTAATATAAGGGGGGATTTTTACTTCCATTTTCAAAAGTGAGTTAGCTTACACCCCTAAAATATGTTGCTTTAGGTTTTAAAAGTCAACAGCAGTTATATAAACATTGATATTTTTTAAATTAAACAAATTTATCTAGGGTATTGAAGCTGCTGCATTAAGTTGTTATTTAATTTTTGCGGCCATTTGAAAAAGCGCCCTCAATTGCCTCCCGAAATCTTCACTTTAATAACTTTAGCTAGTTATACTTTACTCCTATCATTACATATTCAAAAGTTGGTCAAACCTACCTCTTCTGTGCTTATTTTACCCATATATATGTAGTTTATTGGATTTTGACGGCCATTTTGTAAAAGCGCCCTCACACGAAAGTTCTCAGGTTACACCCCTTTTACCTCACATATTCTGATTCCCCATAAAAAACTGGTATAGAAAAACCATATGAGAATTTATACCTCTCCAAGTGGCACCTATCTCAATTATAGCCTGGTCTAATACATCATATTCACTTACACAAAATTATATAGCATAGTACAGTTTTTGCTGCGTAGGACTGAACATATAAGTATAATTGTATTTATTCAGGGAGGGCTGTAATACGAAGCCCGCTCATGGACGACACTGCGCGTCCACTTCGGTGGTCGACCTTTCCTATTATTCGATTTTATTTCAACCCTCCTGTTTGAATTGGCCTTACTCTTATACTTTTCGGGTCCTTAAAGAGGTCAGCTTTACCCACCAGAACCAGAATATAAGTATTTCTTTGACAAATTAACAGAGACGCAAAAATAATACTCTTATATTCTTTGCATGTGACATCTGACCAGCACATTTATTGCATGCTGATGTTCTTGAAAAGGGTTTAAATTCAGCATAGGCCTATTTGTTTCAACCTGTGTCTTATGTTAAAAAAAATCATCTAAAACTAACAATTCAATTTTACAAGGGAGTAAACTACGAGTCTCTCTCTAATTAAGGACCTCTTTACAGTAATATTAATGTTCCTCAGTAAAGACCAAGGCATCGGGACCATAGAATCCCCGGTCCCGAAAGTGGTCTGTGATTGGAGGGAGACCTGTAGCTGGGACGGATGCAGGATTTGGCAATTTGTGCGTGCAAAAATTTAAGGAAATAGTACTTGTAGATGGCCGGAAATGACACTTTTATAAAGTAAAATTCATTATCACATCACCATTATATAGTCAAAATTATCAGCGATTTTCGGCAACCACTGAGATCTAATTATTATGTGTAATGTACACATAAAACTTTAAAAAAAACACATTCTCTTTGATGTATTTACTTTACCTACTTCAAAGCCGTGAGTCCACAACCATCTCAGCCCCACCATGGTTGGGGCCGAGGTGAGAAAATTGGAGGAAATACCTTTAGATGGTCGGAAATGACACTTTTATACAGTAAAATTCACCATTATCACACCATCATTATTTATATAATCTAGAAGAAGCGCCAGCAAATTTTTCTTGATCTTTAATCAGGAATTTTCGGCAACAACAGAGATCTAATTAATACGAGTGATGTACCATAGAAAATAAAACTAAAGAAACACTTTCTTTGATGTATTTAATATACTCGACCTACCTCAAAGCCGTGTGACCATATTCAACTCAGCCCCAGCCATGGCTGGGGCTGAGGAGAGAAAATTTGAGGAAATAATACCTCAAGATGGTCGGAAATGACACTTAAAACTGTGAGTCCACATGTCTCTCAGGTCCACCACAGTTGGGGCTAGTGGTAAATTTTTGAGAAATTGTAGATTGCCGGATATGACATTCTTATATAGTATTCATCATCATCATCGATCTATCTAATCGCTGTGATGTACCAGAAATAGAAAAACCATATGAGAATTTATACCTCTCCAAGTGGCACCTATCTCAATTATAGCCTGGTCTAATACATCATATTCACTTACACAAAATTATATAGCATAGTACAGTTTTTGCTGCGTAGGACTGAACATATAAGTATGATTGTATAGGCCTATTCAGGGAGGGCTGTAATACGAAAACCGCTCATGGACGACACTGCGCGTCCACTTCGGTGGTCGACCTTTCCTATTATTCGATTTTATTTCAACCCTCCTGTTTGAATTGGCCTTACTCTTATACTTTTCGGGTCCTTAAAGAGGTCAGCTTTACCCACCAGAACCAGAATATAAGTATTTCTTTGACAAATTAACAGAGACGCATAAATAATACTCTTATATTCTTTGCATGTGACATTTGACCGGCACATTTATTGCATGCTGATGTTCTTGAAAAGGGTTTAAATTCAGCATAGGCCTATTTGTTTCAACCTGTGTCTTATGTTTAAAAAAAATCATCTAAAACTAACAATTCAATTTTACAAGAGAGTAAACTACGAGTCTCTCTCTAATTAAGGACCTCTTTACAGTAATATTAATGTTCCTCAGTAAAGACCAAGGCATCGGGACCATAGAATCCCCGGTCCCGAAAGTGGTCTGTGATTGGAGGGAGATCTGTAGCTGGGACGGTTGCAGGATTTGGCAATTTGTGCGTGCAAAAATTTAAGGAAATAGTACTTGTAGATGGCCGGAAATGACACTTTTATAAAGTAAAATTCATTATCACATCACCATTATATAGTCAAAATTATCAGCGATTTTCGGCAACCACTGAGATCTAATTAGTATGTGTAATGTACACATAAAACTTTAAAAAAAAAACACATTCTCTTTGATGTATTTACTTTACCTACTTCAAAGCCGTGAGTCCACAACCACCTCAGCCCCACCATGGTTGGGGCCGAGGTGAGAAAATTGGAGGAAATACCTTTAGATGGTCGGAAATGACACTTTTATACAGTAAAATTCACCATTATCACACCATCATTATTTATATAATCTAGAAGAAGCGCCAGCAAATTTTTCTTGAACTTTAATCAGGAATTTTCGGCAACAACAGAGATCTAATTAATACGAGTGATGTACCATAGAAAATAAAACTAAAGAAACACTTTCTTTGATGTATTTAATATACTCGACCTACCTCAAAGCCGTGTGACCATATTCAACTCAGCCCCAGCCATGGCTGGGGTTGAGGAGAGAAAATTTGAGGAAATAGTACCTCAAGATGGTCGGAAATGACACTTTTAAAACTGTGAGTGTCCACATGTCTCTCAGGTCCACCATAGTTGGGGCTAGTGGTAAAATTTTGAGAAATTGTAGATTGCCGGATATGACATTCTTATATAGTATTCATCATCATCATCGATCTATCTAATCGCTGTGATGTACCAGAAAATACTACTTCATGTGACGAAACCCAATCTTATATTTTGCACGCTTTTTCCATACTTTGACATACTTTCATTCATGCATTCATTTCATTTATTTATTCGACCAATACACATTTACAAAAGGTACAGTACAATAAAGGCACGCGCACTCGAGTCGAGTATTATAACTAATTCAGATGTTTGTGGGCCGGTATTTTGCTATAAAATAAGACGTCATCTGGCTGTACAGCTCTCTTTCGTTAAAACCTGGATCATTTATGCATTTATGTCAACAATTTTCAGGCATATCTTCTTGACTCACGAAAAGTTAGGGGACCAACCCTTCCCCCTTTACAAATATGTGAGGGGACGTTTACAAGGGTGTCACCAGCGTTTGGCCGGGGGCCAGGCCCCTTGTCGGGGAGTGGGGGGGGGTGGGGGGGGGGGGGGGGGGGGGGGAGAGAAACCACAATTCGTCGGGGAGGTAAAAAGATTAATAAGCGTTTGAAACCCATTGTCAAAATTTCGGGGGATTCGCCCCCTAGACCACTTTCGAGGCATTTAAAGCGACGTCCGACCACGCCCACTTTGTTCTCGTCTGGAAATTTTCCCCCTCATCAGGGACTACGCCCCCCCCCCACCCCGTCGGAGACCTCGGACCCCGCGTCGGGCAAATCCTAGCGCCACCCTTGTTCGTTTACCCCTTCCCCCATGATCTGCGCCCATGGGTGCGTGAGAGTCCACCACCTCAGCCCCAACATGGTTAGGGCTGAGGTGCGAAATTTTTGAGAATATGTCGACGTTCTTGATACGTATCATTACTTTACGTATTACATAAATGTCTTTAGGTTAACTGTTGAAACATTGGTTATCAGTTATTGATTTAATAAACTAATAGGCCTTAATAATAAACAGTCGTGAAGATTTGTTAGGCTTAACATAGCTAGCTGTCTGTTGGCTTTGCGACTAGTAAGATGTTTAAAAAAGAAAACATATTAGTACTGTATATAGGCTTACATAATATAAATAACCAAATGCTGCTGTGAGTACTTGTATCATTTTTAACATTATTGCACTATGGTCTATATCTATCATTTGTCTATATCTATAAAATATAGGACTATATAAAATGAGGAGTTCGTTGCGATTCAGTTTAATTGTAAACTTCATTATGAGATTAGAAAGGGTGTTATAAGGATTTGAACCAGGACCCTTACTGTCAGAGAACTTCAACTACCAATAAGCTACATATCCAATTAAAGTGTGAAAGGAACCGTGATGACTCCAGAAATTTGCCGACAGGGGTCCGACATGTGAATGTTTAACAGGAGTGTCCGACCAAGGAGCTGATTAAAGCCTCGGTCAGGGTCGCGGAATCAAAATTCCTGATAGGGTTCACGGCTACAAATTGTGCATTTCTGAGACCACAAATTCATTTAGGGATTAGCAATCGAAATAACGTCATTTGGATAAGCAAATCGTGGCGTGGCGTCGGGTCACAGAAATAATTTGCACTGTCTTATGCGCTTACAAAGATGAAAATTAGCATAATGTATTAATGTTGATAACAAAATGATTTTATCTGGTACCAATCTAAGCTCTTCTTTCCTTAGATGTTAGATGTGCTTGCAAAGAGAGCCACATTTCCGCACAAGGGCACACATCTGTCTCTTATACACATCTAATGTTCATGAAATTGGTCCCAAACACTTTACTACACAGGCATTAACATTATAGTAGGCCTGTATATGAAAAATAATATATTTGCATTATTTATTCATGAGCATCCTGTAACACAAATTACCAACAAATGAGAAATATAAAATTATCAATTTAAGACACTGCTGTACATGAGGCCTATTTCAATCAGTGACCCTAACAGCAATGCACATATCAAACAAAACTACAATACAATAAGAAGAATTTCATAGCATGCAACGTGTGTGGCAGAAAGTTCAATACAATTTACAAGATTAGCATTGGTCATAAAACACTAGTGCAGTAATTTTGTATTTTAAAAATATAAAATAAAAATTAAAAGAAATTTGAACGACTGCATACGGTAAAATCTATGATAAACTATAACATTTCATTATCTATATCTATAAAGCTTTTATTTATTTATTTAATCTATCTACCTACCTACCTACCTATTATTTATTTATATTTAGTTATTTAAGCTTATTTATATATTTGTTATTAGTATACGAAGTTAATCCATTAAGAATAATTTTAATATATTATGTTATGTATATATTCATTAAAAACGATGCAATATAGTGAATGTATAAAACAAAACTTACTGAATTCGAGGTATAGGCCTACACAATAGGATGGAACCAGTAACATAGACGCAAAATATCACACTGTAGGCTAAGAAGATCCAAATTGGTAGCCACATTTTCAAGATACTTTATTAAACGTTTTATAATCCTAATTTCTACCATGTTTTAAATTTTCTTGTTTGCTTTTTGTGCTGCTTAGTGTACGGATGGGGAACGCTTTCTGTATTGTGCATCAGTTTGTTGTCTTTGCTTGGAGCGGCCACTATCCCGATGTTGAATAGCACAACATACCAAAACTTGATTCAAGTGTTCATAGCTCTGGCTATTGGCACGATGTCCGGTGATGCGTTTCTACATCTCATGCCAGAGGTATACTTAGGTATTTTTTACTTTAAAAACGTTGCCATTTAGTGACGTTATTGTAACAGAGACACAGTTCTCAGAGTTATATATTCTATAGTATTACATATTTTTATTTGGTGTCTTGCTCTTAACAATTTTAAATATCGTTCTTAATTTTTATTTATACATGTTTTAACTTTTTAAACTATTTTATATATTTTTCATTCATTGTACAGTATTTTTTTATTTAGAAAACGCTTTTGCAACAGCGGCACCCATTACAATAATAGTAATAAAAAGTAATAAAAAGAAAATAAATAGGCCTACATACAGTAATTAAAATTGCCAAACAATACAATGTAGAAAAAGTCACAAAACAAAACATAAAAGCATTTAAATTAAAATTAAAATTACATTCGACGAGACTTAATCTCCAATCTCTTGGCCCATGCCTTTTTAAGATATGATTTGCAAAATTCACCAAAAAGCTTATGGACCATGTTAATTGAATTATTTGGAAGATTAAGTACAAACTCAAATAATTCAATTAACATGGTCCATGCTTATGCCATGACCAAATTAACTTGCTCCTTGGAAATTTGAATTTTGGAATTTTGATTTCTTGCATTTAATTTTGAATTTTTTTGAATTCTAACATAGTAAGACTAATTACGTTATTATTTTCTTACTATATTTATAATTGTAATATATTGTCATCCTTTAGGCACTTGGACTACATGACCACGAAGAAGGCGGTTCGACAGAATCTAGCATTGATGTTCTGTGGAAGAATCTTACTGTCGTGATGTCTTTGTATGTCTTCTTTCTGTTTGAGAAACTCACCTCCAGCTTGTTCGGTGGACATAGCCACAGCCACAGTCATGGGGAACACGATAAAGTTGAGGTACGTCTACTTATTGTGGGAAACTGGGTTTTGTGTTATCTCGTTACTATTATTTATTTTCAGATTTTTCTTTTTATACTGGAACTATTGTTGAGGGGCTTGGGATTATTTCATTCAGTAGGCCTAAACCTGTTTACGCGGCACATTTATTTTAACTAGTGTAAGGGTCGAAGATGTTGGACAAGTCGTTCACTCTTTCTTGTGCAGACCTTGGTGATGGATAGACGTACAATGCTGTCAGGAGAGCTTTTCCTTGTCCTTGACTTTTACTTTAATCTAGTACACATTATCGTCCATTGTAATGGTTTTTATATCTTAATACTGATCAGGGGCGGATCCAGAGATGTCCAAAAAGGGGAGGGGGTGCGAAAGTTGGGCCGCGAAAGTTGGGCCGATCGAGACAACACTGTCCTACGGAGTCCGGGGGCATGCCCCCGCGAAATTTTTGTGTTCTAGACGCCCGAAAATAACATTTGAGGCGTTCTGAGCTACCATTTTTTTTCTTTTTCTTTGTTTTT